AGAACATGGCAATTTTGCTTTGGAGACAGCGTCAAAAGTTTTACCTTTTTATGCTGAATATTTCAAAATTAAATATCCAATTGCAAAAGCTGATCAAATTGCTATACCTGATTTTGCTATGGGGTAAGAAAGAAATTTTTAATTTATTAGAAAAATTATTATTATTGTTGATTTTTAGAGCTATGGAAAATTGGGGTGTAAGTTAATATTGAATTTGCAATTAATTCTGTATTTTTTATTATATTATTTAGTTAGTTACATATCGTGAAACAGCTCTTTTAATTGATCCAAAATTATCCGCAATGAGTGCACGACAACGTGTTGCAATTGTTGTTGCTCATGAACTTGCCCATCAATGGTTTGGAAATTTAGTAACTATGGATTGGTGGACTGATTTATGTAAGATAAAATAATAAATATTTTTTTGTTTAGTTATATTGATTTTATTTTAGGGCTTAACGAAGGATTTGCTTCTTGGATTGAATATTTAGCTGTTGATAAATGTTATCCAGAATTTGATATTTGGACACAATTTGTTGCCGATGCATTTTCAGAATTTCTTACACCTGATGCATTAAAATCATCTCATCCAATTGAAATACCTATTGGTCATCCAGCTGAAATCGATGAAATTTTCGATGCTATATCATATCATAAAGGTTCATCTGTGATTCGTATGTTACATGATTATATTGGTGATGATGCTTTTCGAAAAGGACTTCATACTTATTTAACTGAATATAGTTATAAAAATACGATTACTTTAAATTTATGGTCACATTTAGCTAAAGCATCTGGTAAACCAGTAGCTGATGTTATGTCAACATGGACACTTCAAATGGTAAAGAGATTTTTCTTTCATCGAGATTAATAAAATATAAGTATTGTTCTGTATTCTATCATCTAGGGTTATCCACTTGTAACTGTACATGAAGAACAACAAGCCAATAAAACACGTACTATTAAATTGACCCAACAACGTTTTATTGCTGATGGTAGTTCCGATGATGATAATCTTCAATGGAAAATACCGATAACTATTTTTACCAAATCAAATCCAAAATCAATTGCAAAACAAATTCTAATGGATAAACCTGAAATGACGGTAACATTAGAAAATATTTCCGAAGATGATTGGATTAAATTAAATTATAATTCAATTGGTCTTTATCGTGTTAAATATGAACCAAAAACATTAGCACGTCTCAATGAACCAATTGCTAATAAAACACTTAGCCCACAAGATCGTCTTATGGTACAAAATGATGTTGCTGCTTTATGTAATGCTGGTCATCAATCATTTGTTGATTGTCTTAAATTATTATTATCTTATAAAGATGAAGATAATTTTACTGTCTGGAAATCTATTGGTAAAAGAAAAATAAACGAAATTAATTCATTCATTTGTATTTCTTGATTATTTTAGCATCGACCATTGGTGATTTATCATCATTAATTGAATATACTGAATATTTCAATCAATATAAAAAATATCGTTTAAATCTTTTTTCATCCATACAAAAAAAACTTGGTTGGAATGCAACAGCTAATGAAGATCCACTTGTCGCTATGTTACGTCCAATTATTTTAACTATTAGAGGTAAATCAGGTGATCAAGAAGTTATTGATGAAGCAAATAAACGTTTTCAACAACATGTTAATGGAAATTTAATTGATCCAAATATTCGTGGAGCTGTTTATAATATTGCTTCACGTTATGGAAACGAAAATACTCAAGAACAACTTCGAAAATTATATAAAGAAGCTGTTATGAACGAAGAAAAAAATCGTTTACTTAATGCAATGGGACAATCATCAAATCCAGCTATCATTGAAAGCACCTTACAATTTGTATTTGAAGGCGTATGTTTAATTCATTTTACACTTAGAATTATTCGTGTCTAATGTTTTTTTTATAGGATAATGTTCGAATGCAAGATATATATGTAGGTGTTATTGGTTGTGTATCATCTCGAATTGGTCGAGATATAGTTTGGAAATTTTTACAAAATAAATGGACAACGATTGTGGAACGTTATGGTGAAAAGAGCAGCTTTCTTACAACTTTTGTTGAAGTAAATATAAATCTTATTTATTTCAGTGAGTTAATTTCGTATTTTTGTATTTAGTGTTGTTTATCAGGTTTTGTTGATGATAAAACTGCATCGGAAATTCAATCATTTTTCGATTCAGCCAATACACCAATTGTAACACGTGCAGTAAAACAAGTTGTTGAAACTATACAAATGCGATCGAAAGTATTGAAACGTGATTCGAAAGCAATTGAAGAATATTTATCACAATATTGATTGACATACTTGAAAAGCAAAATAAATCATATATTATCTTTTTATCAACGTAGTTTTTATAGTAACATTCGATCTTTTTTTTGTCAAGTTTAAGTTTATGTTTAAAAAACATGTTAATCCAAAGAAATTTGATCAATAAACGAGAAAAATCATCATTAGAATATTAATTTCATATCTATCAAGAAAACCTATCTGAAAATTTCGAATCTATAGTTTTTAAATGTTAATTGCGATATATTTTCTAATGATATATTTATTTTTCTCGTTGACCAAAAAAAATATTAATTATAGTTTATTTTTTATATGTTCAAGATTGTTTTTCCATTGCTGAAGGTTAGGATGATCGGATGGAAGTGATTGTTGTCCTATATTTACAGCATGTTCATAAAAAGTGCATGCTTTGGAATATTTCTTTAGATTCTCATAGACCGATCCGATGTTGCCGTATGAAGAAGCCAAGTCGGGATGATTTGGAGGAAGACTTTTCTGTTGAATTTCAACAGCTTTTTCATAATATGAAAGTGCTTTTGAGTATTCTTCCATGTCGTTGTACACTTTACCAATGTCACTATAAGAAGAAGCCAAATCGGGATGATTTGCAGGAAGGCTTTTCTGTTGAATTTCAAGAGCGGTGTCATAAGATAAAAGTGCTTTTGGGAACTTTTTCATGTTGTTGTACACTAAACCGATTCTTTTATAACATAAAGCCAAATTAGGATGATTCGGAGGAAGATTTTTCTGTTGAATTTCAAGAGATTTTTTATAGAACTTTAATGCCTCGTCATATTCTCCTTGATTATATTTGACCAATCCGATTTGTTCGTAAATATATCCTTTTTCAGTATCATCATTTGTTTGTTCAAGCAGAGTTTCATATATTTTTCGAGCCTTGTCAGATTTACCCATTTTACACAACAAGTGACCCAGTTTACACCATTCATTCTGATCTAAAGATATCTCTTCTCGTATACGATCTCCAAGTACTTGAATATCTTTGTCGGTGTCTGAAGTAAGTTCCATATCCACTTGAAATAGACGATTATTTTTTTCGATGGATTTAATAGTATGAATACGAAAAACTGTATTCATTGAGAAAATAATATCATCGGAATCATTATAATAGCTTACGTCTTTAACAGAAACAAATGGTACTGATGATCGAGAAGGATTAATTGACATGGCAAACTGAATTCCAACTAAATCAGAATTGTTCATCGCACGTTCAGCAAATTTTAAACAATCGTTATAGTTCATACTGGTAAATAAAAAATTATTAAATGACATAAGACCACCTTGATTATTTTTCAACTGGTCGAAATCTTCTTTAGACATGCCTTGTCCACGATAGACCATAAAATGTTTATTAAACTGATTTTTATTAAGTTGTGTAGAATACAATTGTTGAATTTGACGATCGAGATCAGCAATGAAAAAGCCCATTTTAATAATCATATCCACATCCATGAGTCGAAGTGCACGATTAACCATAGGATATAAAAAACATTCACATGTGTACCACCATAGAGGTGATTTCTTGTAATATTCTCGTTCAAATCTTTCTATATTATCTAGTTCATGATTATTCTTCCTGAGTTGTTCACGACAGCAGTAAATAAATTCTTTCATATGTTCTTCACTGAATTTAATTGTTAATAAGATTTCTTTGAGAATTTGTGTATACATATATGATGAATCTAATTTATTTATAGTTTTATGTGTAAGATTTTCATTTGTGGTAATGAAGGTATTTTGTTCTGATTCTTGTATGACTTTTCTGAGGACATGGCAGATTGACTCGACATCTGTACATACGGCTTTGATTTTGGACCAATCTTTAGCCCATTGTTCATGTCGTGTTTTATTTGCACAGAAGACAAAAATAGCATATACCTGAGACATGTTATGAACACGTGGTACAATTTGCTGACCGAGAGTCCCTGAAACAACCATACATATTTTGTCATCAGTCATACTTTGAATAAGTTGTAGACAATGACCATTATCAGTAGATATTTTGACATTATTAATAACGTTCCCCAGTTGAGTAACGACATTCTGGCTATATTTGGTCCTGGTATCAATATTACTGTCTAACCAAATCAAGAGAAACTCTTGCCCAACTGCACCTTTTGCACCACTCGATTTCCTAGTTAACAATAGTGATTTTATTTTATCCATTATTGATTATGCAAATGTTAACTTGAATAAATTACTATTACAACGATGTAAGAATGAATGAAATATACCTTATTTTATGAGATGTTTACTTCCTTTCTTTACCTTTCTCTGTTATCATATTTTTTTTCTTTCTTTTTATTCTGCATAAATACTCTTTTACTTGTGGTGCAACGTGCTGGAATGAAAAAAAAAGAAAAAAAAAATCAACATAAACTTTCAGTCGTAACAAAATGAAAGCATCAAAATTATCGGAGAAAAGTTGTCATAACATATAACTTGAATAAAAACAGCCTATGGCAATGAATTTTTTTCGACGATGAAAGAAACCTTGAAGATTTCTTTCTATCGTGCTGAGATTAATATTCTTCAAAAAATATGTTGCGTATATATCTTAACTTTTGTTTTTAACTAAGAGAATATTCGTCGAACGAAATATTTTTCTCTTTATATTAATATGACGTAAAGAAATCTCATACTATGTACAGACTATTAAAATTGACCTAAAGGTTTTATTTAGTCAATATATCGTAGTACAAGATGCGTTTTTCGAGCTTGTTGCTCTTCAAGATTCTTCTTTTTGTGTGAATTTCGTTTATGACGAAGTTCACGACGTTCGTTGCGAGTTACATCAATACCAAAAACATACTTCAAAGTATCAAGAATAATCACAAAAAGATAAACAGCGACTATGCCAATAATTGCAATATATGAAAAACTTTTTGCAACGTATTGACGAATGACATAACCGGCTGCTAAGTTTTCACAGTGACGTCCAGAACTACCATATAAACATTCACATTTATAATCGAGAAGAATTGGTCGACAGATGCCTTCGTTAAGACATGTGACATTTCTGTTACAATAATTAATCATATCTTGACAATGAATACCCATATATCCTTGACTACAATTACAGATAAAATCTGTCTCATTCATTTCGATACACAAACCTAAAATGAAATAGTATTTGTTTTTGAAAGATTTAATAAACTAGTACCATTTTGCAAACATGTATTGACTTTACAAGGTTGAATATTAACATCGCAATTAGTACCATTAAAACCCGACATACAAATGCAAGAGTAACCAAGACGCTGACTGGAATTATTGGTGCAATTGCTCATATCATAACATGGATCAATATCGCACGGTTACATTGAAATGTTACAAAAATCACCAATATAATTTGAATCGTTGCAACTATATGGAGCAAAATAATTTGAGGATGATTTATTTGATATATAAGATAGAGAACTTGTTTCGACCGTTGTTGTTTCAAGTGAAGTGCTTAAATCTAGAAGATAAAAATAAGTTGTTATAATTGAAACACTGAAATTGCTATTATATTTATTCTGATCAAGTATGATATCTTTCTTGTTCTTTTCTCAACTTATTAGAATCAATGTTTATTCAATAGATTTACTATCCAATCCAGAAAATACGATTCTCTGATGAATATAAGTTTAAAATCACATATAAATTATTATTCTTTATACCCTTTCAAATTTTTCTCACGATCTAAAATTCTTTGCTGTGTATCGCATAGGATAATGCTAATAGTTTTTGTTATTTAAAACAATTTGATTAAACAGAATACCATAATTACCTGAGACAGTAGTAGGTGTACAACCTGATGATGAAGTCAAATAGGATAATACTTGAGTATCATATTCGGATATCCAACTGTTATTATCATTAATCCACTGCCACCAATCAAGATTTTTATTTTCGTGATAAACAATTCCATTCCAATATACTAGCAGTATAACATTTCCAGTAGGTCCTGCTGTTAGTCCATCTTTGAAAACTGTGCTATTAGAAAAAATTGTCCACACTGCATTATTTGCGTCAATAATAGTTTCATTCGTACCATTTTCAACAATCGCACCATTACAAGACTCTCCATTTACTAAAAAAAATAAATTTTGTCAGAAAAAATATAATAATATGCAATCAGGCATTTGTATTAAATTTATTTTTATAATGAAATTTCTTGCTCGTAACTTAACAATTGATAAACAATATTTAAGCAATGTCACTGGAATGTACAGAACACTTCTTGGTCTTTTGCTTTGTGCATAACAATTTAAAGGTACATAGATATGAAGTCAAGAGCGTATGATCATTCAATTATGAAACTACTTAAATCTCTGTGTTAGGAATCCATTTGTTCTATCTATCTATAATGTTTAAGATATGTTTAGTTGCTGAAAAACTTCTAACATCAAAAAACAGATAAAGAAATTGTGGTTGTTGTTGAACTAGGTTTTTTTGAGATTTAGTTTGGAACGAGTTTAAGTATGATATAATTCAAACATCCTACCATGATCGTTGATGCTGAGATAAATCCACACAGTCGATAATATCAGAATCTTGTGCTTTAATATTTCAAACTAAAATGCGAGATACTATTGACATGCAAAAATGAAAAAATGTATCATACCATTTTTATTCTCCTACTATTAAATTTCTATTAATGTTTCTTTGACAAATTTTATCACTCAATTAAACAGTAAATGTAAAATCGGAATGATTCTTATTCTTGTTTTTTTTGATTTACACAAGAATTGTGATCGGAATATTGATTTTTTTGTTCGAATACAAGGTAAAGATTTGTTGTGCTCCACATAAAATATGCAAAAATTAATTAATGTGTGATTATTGATTTTCTAAACGGAAAAATTCTAGAAAAAAATGCACTTTAGCGTTGTATACATATATGATGAGAGTTAACAGTCTTTTCACTAGTTGACACTATTTTCATGATATATCACGCAAATACAAAAATAATTCTGAATATAAGAAAAATTCAAGGAATTAGAAATCATGTTTAGCTCCTATGATATAATTATGAGCAAGCTTTAAATATTAAAGAACAATAATTGATTATCAATTCTATTTGTAGACATGAGAATATTACGATAGAGTTTAAAAAGTGTACAATTGAGGTTCACTGAATTATTGATGATGATAAAGCAAAAAATAGTTTCACTTTTTTTTGTCTACTCATCTTCTAGATGCTATCATTGTGAGAAACATATTTACTCTTGATCCACTCACATTCTGAGAAGCAAAAACGAGTTCGAGATTAAGAGACTTGAAGACATGAATGATTCGATTTACAATTACAAAAGTGTTTCTATGCTCAACTTTCTTAATCAAATAAAAACATTACAGTCTAATGTGATTTAAAGAAAGAAGAGCATGAAATCAGTTGATAACAGACAATAAATACTGACTAGATCGATCAAGATTTATATTATTGTAAATTAAAGAGCGTAAATAAGTTGACAAATATGACGAGAGTAGTAATTTAAAATCTACTATCGGCTCAAACATTTCAAAATCATTTCTCTGATTGTACTAGATTAGTCCTATAGATTTTCACCTTGTATATATAATTAAAGTCATTGTTATGTTCTGTAGCAAAGGTGTAATTTACAATATGTACGACTGATTCTAGAAATTATAAAGAATATTTTGAACGATAGTGATAGGTTAGGTATTAACAAGCCATCCTGTAGGTTCAAACAAGAACAACTGAAATTATTCAAGTAAAACAAAAACTTTATTTCTTGTATATAAGTTGAAGATTATATGTAAGACAAAAAAAAAGCCTTAAATCTCGAATAAAACTAAAGATTTTATATTATTCTTATTTCTTCTTTGACTGAATATTATGTAGCAGGCATACGTCTTGCCTTGCATCTTCTCTTGGTAGCAGATGGTGAAGCTGTTGTCGATGGTGAAGTTGTTGTTGGTGCTAAAGTTGTTGTTGTTGGAGCATCAAAACATTTCTTAGTAGGATCAGCCTTTTTAACAGGGATAAGGTCACATGTACCATCAGCTAACTTGCAATCAGCGGGCAAACCAACAG